TTTTATTAAAATATATAAATAAATTTTAAATTCAAATGTCAATATTTAATAAACTAAATTTTAAAATTTTTTATTTTTAAGTATAAATTGATATTCTAATTTGTTTTAAAATCAAGCATTGACTTGCACTATACTTTTTATGTATTTTTTATCCTTGTTTCTCTTTAGCATTTCTCTTTTCTTTTCTTTTTTTTCTTTTTTTTACCACTAATAGCAAAAATTGAGCGAGTAAATCTCATGAGATCTCATTCAATAATGGGTAATTGTATTCTTTGTTTTTGATGAGATGATTGTTTTAATTATAAAAAGAAACCATATAATAATCAAAGTCATTTTATTAAACACAAGGCTTGATAGAGTTCCTTGTATTATACATATGAGAGGTCTATGTATAGTTGGATTTGGCTTATTCATTACATTAAAAGAAACATATTTCGTTTATTCAAATGCGTGCTATATTGGTCCAAACTCCTTAGGGTGGAAAAAAAAAAAAATCCAAGAAAACCAGTCATTTTCGTTGGCTTTGGCTTAGGAATTGTAATAAGTTATTACACTAATAGAAGGCAAGTTTCCCAGGCAGGAAATCTTCCCAATTGTATTTTGCCTCAAAACCATATTTTGGGAAACTTTGGTTGTGCTTTTTTTTTTTTTTCCCTCTCCTAATTAGTTCTAAATCATTATAACCCAATTATATTTTTTTCTTGAATTTTGTGCTAGGATTTCCAAACCAAACCAAGAAAAATGGCTTTCCTTAGATATTTTTTCTTGAGAAAGTGTTGAACCAAATGCACCCTTAAGTTAACCATAGACCTCATAGTTGATGGCTCAAGTACACCTAATTGCTGTCCATCAATTAAATTAGTTTAGTCAAAAAAGTTAACAAATTAGAAGAAGTAATCTACTAACCTATCCATTCATAAGTTATAAGCTTATGATGTTATTAAAGTGGGTTGTAGACCAAACAAATTAAATTAAACGAGTTCATAAGTGAATAGAGAGGCTAGTTGGCTACCTATAACCTCACTCATAATGAGCAAGTTAGGTCGATGAGCTAGGTCCAATTTTTTTTTTTTTTGAACAATGGGAAATTTTTTCAGAAAAAAGAGAAAAGGGACTTGGGATTAGAACTCAGGTATTGGTAGTCCTAAGCACATCCTGCAAAAAGGAGTCAATAGGTCCTAAAGTGCTGGATGAGCTAGGTCCAATTTTGTCATGTCTATTGTTACAAATTTGCATAGAGAACAGTGACAATTAAAAAGAGTAGGCATCCAATTTACTTTAAGAAAAAAGATAAGGACCAAATCACGAAATTGAAAATTTGGTAAAAGTGGAATTAAAATTACTTGACTAGATTCATAAAAAAATTTTGTTGAAACGGATTCTTTTGTAGCTTTCTGGCTCATTTCTAGAGAGATCTTGTTGCTTATCACCATCTTATAACTGATTATGAATTGCAGAGAAATTTTTGGCAGAAATTCTTCAAAGTTCATTTGCATCATGTGTTTAGAGAGGCTAACATGTGTGCGAATCGCTTAGTTTGTCATAGGTTACTCTCTCTGGAAGGATTTTTTCCTTTTTGATGTTTGCCCTCTTGGCATTTGATGTAAGCTAATGCTGATACCATGTGAATTGGTTTTCCCAGGAACTTAATATTTGTAGTATTTACCTTTCATTTATGAGTTTTTTTAATCTGTATATAAGTTAAGGGTATTTTTATTTTAAGTATAAATAGAAATTTTAAAACTTAATATTAATTTTAGTGTAAATACTAAGTAAATGAGTTTAATTGAATAGTTGATAAATTAAATATTAATATTTTAATATAAATTTATGATAAAAATATATATTTAATATATTTTTAACATATATTTTAAAGACACAAACTAAACAAACCCTTTGTTTATATATCTCTCCAATTACCAAAAAATTTTTTTTAAAAATACTTAACCAGGGACAAACTCACAAACATATCATTTTGAACAGGGTTACAAATTGAGGATTACAAATTGAGTATGGGAAGAGGATGCACCTTAGGGGTCGAGATGTGATCGTTGGCCTAGTGCCATATCATGTTGTTTTTGGCTCTTTATCAATTATAAAAAATAATTGCACTTGCGACCTTTGGACTATTGCTATCATACCATTCGTAAAGTACTATTTTTTTAGATAATGATTTGAATCTAATTTTTTATAAATTTATTTAAAAAAAATTATAAAAAATAATCACTATAAAAGATAATTATAGAGAAACAAAAAATTCATTTAATTTATTTCACCGTATAAAAGATAGAATTTTTATTTTCATTATCATAAGTGCATAATTCAATACTATACAAAAATTTTCATCTGGTTTTCCAAACCATTACAATTACTACTGTGCAAGTTAATTCATCCCGACTCCATCCGCCGTCAACTAATTCATCGGCTTTCATCCCCCGCCGCCACAGATGAATCCTCCGCCGGCTTTAGACGATTCAAGAGCATCATCGATTTCAAAACCCGTTGGAGAGATTCTGCAACTCAACTAATTAAGCTACGCCCCACCGGGTACGTAGCTCTTTTTTTTTTTTTTTTTGCCATACGTACGTACGCCCTGGTAGCTTTAGATACATGCATATTTATCCTTCATCAATTTCGTAATCTTCTCGGTTCATCGAACTTTCCGGCGGCGCCGGACGGCAAAAATGTCAGATATAGCAGAACGTAAATTTCCAGGTTTATCTGGCTCTAGCATGATTACATTCCTTCCGGTATGTGAAAGAAGACTGGGAGAGAGTGGGGGGCATGAGTCTGTTCTGTTGGGAATACATATATCTCTAAACCAGCTAGGAACTGAGTCTCACGTGGAGGTGGCGGAGATGCCTGGGGATCGATGGGAGAAGAGTGTAAAAGGGAAAAATAGTAGGAGAGATGAGGCTTGGCTCGATTATACTCGGCCAACTACTCACCGTTGAGTAGAATTTTCCGGTGAAACTACTTGTTG